CACTGATCTTCTGATTGGTAGAAAGCCCACTTTACCTCCTGAGCCACAGCTATACTCAGAAATAGAAAGAAACAGAAACAGAAATCTGATTGGATAAATAACACTAAAATAGCTCTAAAGGGGAGAGTTATTTATAGTTTGCAGTTTAAATCTGCTTCCATTGTTTCTAAAAGCACAACTGATGTCAGCCTTAACCTGAGAAGAAAGAAAATATTTGTAATTCATAAAGGACCGATCCAATATTAATTATGGACAAAATTAAAAACTAAAAAGTGGGAGAGCTTAAAAATTCCATACGTTCTTTTAGGATTTGGTCTTAGAATAAAAATTTTTATTTTTAGGGTGGGGAATGTCTTTAAAGGTACAGCTGTAGTGTAGCTTGTTTCTTATTATCCGTGATTGATCTCTTTCTCTCAGGCTCAGCTCATCGCTCAGTCCATCGGTCAGTCCTTCAGCGTCGCCTACCAGGAGTTCCTCAGGGCCAACGGCATCGACCCCGAGGACCTGAGCCAGAGGGAGTACAGTGACCTGCTCAACACTCAGGACATGTACAACGACGACCTCATCCACTTCTCCAAGTCGGAGAACTGCAGAGACGTAAGTCAGCCAGCAGGTGGCGGCACAGTCGGGAGGTTTTAATCATCATCGACAGGGACACGATTGCATTCGCAAGATAAAAATATTCCACTCTGCATATGGATGAATCTTTCAGATAAAAATAGCAACACATCTCTTTAATTCAGGTCAGGCTATTAATGTTTTTCCTGCTCATTGTGTTGTTAGTTTGCCTCGCAGTGCTGTTACATGAGCATCTGGTTTAGGAGTCACAGCTGCATGACAGTTGTACTGAGAGATGACATTTTAATAAAAAGAGCAAACTCCTAACCTCAGTATAAAGGTGAATTTGTGATGCTCGACCTGTTCTGACCTCGGAGCCTCCTCCCCGCTCTCGCTGCCTGCTGTCATCTCACATTTTTCAGAGTTGTGTGGTTGGCGGCGAGAAGCCCGAACTGGGAGGACTGTGGTAGATTTGGATTGGTGAAGGTGACTGTTGATATGTGTCCAAAGTGTCTCTGTAAAGTTCTTTTTCTTTGGTGCGATTCACATCTTAGTTTGATATGAAGTCCACAATAAAGACAGAGGGGACGCTTTTAATCAAAACCTGCAGGAAGTTTTATTTGACTGTATCCGCCCTCCATGCACATATGTGGAAAGGATAACGGTTGAGAGCAACTGCAAATTTCCCAGCATCAGTGAAAACAGACGTATCTGTTTATGGTGTTGTTGTGAAGCACTTTGGTATACCCTTGGTTTTAAATGTGCTATACAAATAAACTTGTATTGTATTGCATCATTAGTTAAGTCAGAAACAGCATGAGGAGTACGAAATGGATGACATGAATTGAAGGTGGGCTGCAAAGTGGCTTGCAGAAGCAGCAGATTAAATGTTACATCCTGTTTGAGATTATCCAATCCAGTGTTCAGGTGGATGTTAGCTGAGCTCACAGACTGAAGCCAGTGCTGAAGTGCCATAAACCTGCATTCATATCTAGTGGCCAGCAGGGGGCGGCCAGTTATAGGGAGGTCTATGGGATAAGTCTTAAGTCTTTCTTTAAGCACTTTCTTGAGAATTTTGTGGTCTCAGTTGCACATTCAGGTCTTACTGAACACAACGGGATGTTAATTTTGTAATTTATGGCACACACTAGGGTAAAAATTAGGATCAAGCACGGTATGTTTTACTGTGTGATTGAGAAATTGGTGTGCTCCTTCACTTTTCAGACACACCTCACATTTGGATTTAAAGCACTAAGACGTCCATCTTGAGGCTTCATTAACACATACAGCTATGCATATATACGTTCTATATCTGAGTTTGATGCCACAGCTGCTAAATTGCCTAAAAACACTGTAGTCATTCATTATCCAAGTCATCTGGCTGTTTGTTTGGCACGATGTCAGACTAACAAAGATCCGCTACCTTATGTGGCTGAGAGCTCTCGGAAGCCTGAGCCCCTCCTCACAGAGTTATAGCAGATATCCGACAAGATTTGTTCTACTAGAATCCCCAAAATGCAACTTTGAAGCTGTAAATGAACATTATTTGGTATCTTTAAAGAAACTAAGGTCATATTCACGTTCAGGTTTACATCGAGAAGCAAAAAGGCGAGATCCTCGGCGTGGTGATCGTGGAGTCTGGCTGGGGGTCAATCCTCCCCACAGTGATCATCGCTAGCATGATGCACGCCGGCCCAGCGGAGAAGTCTGGCCGACTCAACATCGGAGATCAGATCATGACCATAAATGGTACAAGCTTGGTGGGTTTACCTCTCAGCACCTGCCAGAGCATCATCAAGGTACGCTGCTGCTCTCTCTTTTCCACCTTTCATCTTATTTGAAACCCCTTACAAGCAGAAGAGGTTCTTAAATGTTTGCTGGATCTGTCTCATATGTCTGCTTGCTGTTTCCCCAGGGTCTCAAGTCTCAGTCCAGGATCAAGATGAACATTGTCAGGTGCCCTCCTGTCACCATGGTGCTTATTCGCAGGCCGGATCTCCGATACCAGCTGGGCTTCAGCGTCCAGAATGGCATAGTGAGTATCTGAAGCTACTGAAACTCACTCGCAGCTGCAGGGAACAAATTCAATGAATTGTCCTTCTTGTCAAATTCTTAGATTTGGTATCGGCTGTGTCCCCACTAAGCCAAATCCCTCTGTGTTTCCTTCCTGTGCAGATCTGCAGTCTGATGAGAGGCGGTATCGCTGAGAGAGGTGGCGTCCGCGTCGGTCACCGCATCATCGAGATCAACAGCCAGAGCGTCGTGGCGACTCCTCACGAGAAGATTGTTCAGATCCTGTCCAATGCCATGGGAGAGGTAAATACTCAAAATGGCCACATATGTTCTTTTATTTACCTCAGCAGCAAAAAACATGTTTGAGACGTATCCTAAAATATCTTTAACATGTAAATTCCCGTTTTATAGGCCTTCTTGATTTATTATTGAAACTGTCTCAAAATCAGCCTCAGTTCCATCAGGAAAACAGCTGCAGCTGAAAGACTTGCTTCAGTGAATGCCTTCCCTCCTGCATCAATATTTCACATTAAAAGCCTTTTTACGGCTTTAAAGCTGTAATCCCAGGGTTCTTTGTGCAGCACAGCACCATTTCACTTTAAAGGAGACGCTTTATTGTCATTTTCAGCTCCATATTTAAAGTCTTGCCTTTACTAGGGCAGCTTTGCATGACTTACAGTTGAAAATAATCTTTCCATTATATTGTATGGGTGGGTCACGCCATGAAAAATCAATCAGTCCATTCCACCTGGTCCTATTGGCATAAACCAATTTATCTAGCACAATAACTACGTTTTGCCTCCTCACTATGAATATGAGATCATTCCAGATTTCCTCACCCTGTCCCTAACACTGAGCCCATCCTACGGGTGAGACTTATTGCAGCCCCATGAATTCTCAACCTTACTCTTTCAGTCATTACCCAGATCTTCACAGGTGGCTATAACTGAGGGTCAAAACTTGGATGGACAGCTCAGCTCTCGGTTCAGCACAACAGTCCAGTGCAGTAGGTGCACAACCAAGGCTCTGCCTTCCCATCACTCATGTATAAGACATAAGTGGTGTATTCATGAGCTTTAAGTGTTTGGCGGCCAGGCCTAGAGGAGGTGGTCCCAGATTCCACTTCCACGAGTGGTTATGCAGTGCCAAGACTTAAGTTTCATTAGGACTTCCTTAGTCTAGCCCCTCCCCAGGGACCAGTTTACCGTAGGAGACCCTCTCAGACGCCAAGACCAGAAGTACACTTAAACCCCTACACCACAATTGGGTAGTTATTCAACAGGGTAGCCTTCTGTAATAAAATATTTTTCAAATGAGCGATCATGGCTCAAGAGTTGGCAGTTCATCTTGTAATCAGAAGGTTGCCGGTTCGAGCCCCGGCTCCAACAGTCTCGGTCGTTGTGTCCTTGGACAAGACACTTCACCTGTTACCTCCTGGTGGTGGTCAGAGGGCCCGGTAGCGCCAGTGTCCGGCACTCTCGCCTCTGTCAGTGCGCCCCAGGGCAGCTGTAGCTACAATGTAGCTTGCCATCACCAATGTGTGGATGACTGAGTGTAGTGTAAACCGCTTTGGGGTCCTTAGGGACCAAGTAAAAGCGCTATACAAATACAGGCCATTTACCATTTATTGCCTTCCAGTGGAGAAAATTCACACTGATTAATCAACTCTGGGCCCTGAAGAAGGTAAACGTTTGCATTCACTGAAACAAAGTACATCCCTGGTTGATACTGGCCTAAACTGTGTCACAGTTTAACACAAACAAATGATGTGACAACATCTTTAAAAAAGAAGCTATTGTAATTTTCTACAAAAAGTTATTCTTGCATGGAAAAGGTTCATTTAAGGAGAGTTTAGTTTGCTCATTGCACTTTTTCCTTTCTGCTCCAGATCCACATGAAGACGATGCCTGCAGCCATGTACCGTCTGCTGACAGCACAGGAACAACCTGTCTACATCTGAACACACACGTCTCGCTTGACACATCACTCCCGCCTGTCTCCGTTTTAAATCCCTTTTATCCCTCCTCTCCCTTCCCTGTTTGATATCACTTGACTTGCCTTAATCTGTACAGTTGACTGTCATGTAAACATGTACATCTCCAGTGTGACAGCAGAAGGCAGATTATCTCACTAGGCCGAGTGTTAATGTGACGTTTTATGTTTGACCAAAGAGAAATTTGGGATTTTCTTGTGTATATTTAGGTGGAGAACAGAGCCAATATTAGCTTTGGTTTGAATAGCTGTATAATCTCTGAATGTACTCTAATCATGTTGGACCTATAAAATGTCAGGGTGACACAAAAAGAGTTTAAAGCTGAAGTTGTAAAGGTTGCATGTATAATTCTGCAGAATAAACTAAAGGAAAAGGCAGCAGTCTGTGACGTTTGGTTTATTTTTGTTTGAAAAGTAGTTAAAACTGGACCAGTGGTGGAGTCGACCTTTTCTCAAGTATAAATTTAGAACAGTTTTTTCACTTGACTGAAGTACACACTTACTTGCTTCCATAGGAATAAAGAGGGCAGGTAGTAGTCACATGCTGCTGACAAAAAGCAAGTGTGACCACCTCTATATTAGCTGTGTTTTAACACAATGTCACAATCTTGCCAGTGGATTCACCCCAAGGTCAGTGAGCGCTCACTGCACTGCCAAGAGCTTCCTCTGAGACTCCATGGGCCTCGTTTAGCACATTAAATTTTAGTGTTCATGACAGTTCAGTTAGAAAAAGGCTGAATAAGTATGGCTTGTTTAGATGGGTTGCCAGTAGGAAGAGTAGTCTTCTCTCTAAAAGAACATGACAGCACACCTCAGGTTTGCAAAGCTTCATCTGAACAAACTGATCTTATCATTGGTCCAGAAGGCTTGCAAAGTGATCCATAATGCACACAGCCAGATTACCAAACATAGCCTCATACAAACTGTCAAGCATGGTGGTGGAGGGGGGATGATTTTGGCTCGTTTTTCAGCCACAGGCCTGGGCACCTTGCAGTCCCCGAGCTGACCTTGGAGTCCTCTCTGTACTAAAGTATCAGAGTCAAATGTGAGGCCATCTGACATCTGAAGACAATGAGCCCAACACAGCAGCATTTCTAAAACAAAAGCAACCCAAAAGCAAAGGTGGAACATGACACTCTGAACATGACTTTGTGTAAAAAAACAAAACAAAAAAAACATTTATTAGATTTTCCCAAGAGACTGTTGTGTAACACTCAGGAGACAAAACAAAACAAGCAAATCATAAAATAACATTTAAGAGAGACTGATAAACCAACATGATTGTCACCACATTCCCCAAACAGTAGTGCACAAACGCTGAACTGAATCAAGTGTATGAATATATATTCAAAATTTTCAACAAAAAAAAAGCATCAGCAATAAAAAAATAAAATAAAAATGTGATTGTCTCTGGTTGCCAGCAGCTAATAAAGAAACATAGCTCAATCACAAGTTGTCTGAACGCCTCGCTCGTGATACACTTTTTAATGAAATCTGTGACGTCATTTACACGCTGGTCTAACACAGAAATGCTAAACAGGCAGCTGCACAGCTTCCCCATCTTATCCAAGAGCCCTGCATTCGCCAAAGTACTAAATTAAAAAAAGAAAAGAAAAGAAAAGGGGGGGGGGGGCGCAATCTTTTGGTAATTATTATGCAATGATGAGATACAGATGCTGCATTCATGCAATCCATCTGAATCTCCTATTTCTGACTTCGCATCTCTTCAGTGACTGCAATGCTCTTCTAAAGCAAAAGCAAAGAACAAAGGAAAGATGTTTCCAGTTTAAATCTACTCGTGTATTTCGACTGTGTGCAGTAACTGTACTGAAAATACTTTCCAACCTCTGCTTGGTTCAGTTTACAACAGCAGTTAAAACAAAACAAGTGCTTTTTAGGTAGAAGCCTTTATCTCCCGAGCTGAAATCAGAGCTGCAAGGCACTTGAGAATAAGCTGCTTCCCAGACTGCACAGCTCACACAGCGGCGTGCTGCAGACGCAGGCGTCCACTTTGGAATGTGTAGTTCAGCAGGGGAGGTGCGATTAGAGGACAATTAACACCAGAGGAGCGTGCCCGAAGCATGTGGCGCCTCACAAAAACGCACAAAATTGGTGAAAAAGCTGAGGTGCAGTCCACAGAACTGTAACAGTGATTTGGGCGTTTGCTCGCTTCAGTTTCAGCCTCGTGTATTCACCATCACAATGTAAAATAACTGCACGGTGTATCAATAACAGGCATTAGTTGTATCTTTACAGTGTTTTTAGCTGGTTTTAATTTTACATTTGTTACATTTTTATTGTGTCCAAAAGGTTTGCACCTGCTCCACGCGCAGCACTGATGGTATTCGGCAACTCAGTGGGATCAACAGCTATTTCTGTTGCTTCACATTATTGTTTAATTATGAAAACCTGAAAAACTTTTTTATTATGATTTCTTGAGACTATTCCATCCATCACTCGAGGACAGACAGGTATACCCTGGACTGGTGGCGCCAGACAACAGTCAACCCCTGGAACCGGAGCTTTCCAAGAGAGTCTACACCCACCTGAAGGTCCCAGACAGCAAGCTCAAACCAGGGACTTTCATATTGTGATACAACAATCTTTCTACAGTCATGGTCAAACGTTTAGGTAGTAGCAGAAATTTTGTGCTTGTCACACTTTGCCGCTCCAGAATTTATTGAAGTTTGAAGTTGCTGGGCATTGACTCCTGGTCCAAATCCTGACTTCTGCCTGTTTGTCAACTCACTTTGTAAGGATTGACCATACTAAAAAAAAAACAAAAACAAACAAAAACAAACAACAAACAGCTCATACAGCAGCAATTTGGTGACAATTGCTGCTGTATGTACCATGTCATGGCGAAAATAACATGGTGCATTTTCACCATGTCACAAGGCAAAAGTGATGTCAACCCATCAAGACTCAAAGGTCAACAGAAACAGATCACCATCCATCAGGATTTGGCCCAGAAGCTGATACCCAGCAAACCACAGAAAACAGCAGATGTTATGAAGAATGGGCAGATCTGCAAATACTCACTCTTTGCATAAATTTACCAGTAAAAGTATTCAAAGCGCATCACATATATAATCTAAATGAAAAAAATTTGTGCCACTGCCAAACTTTTGGCCTCGACTGTTCATCAAGTTTCACTTCATGTATTCATACTATATTCATACTTTTGTGTCCCACCTGCAGAGGACCTAAGCAGCAGAGCATGAACCTTAAATTTAGGACACAATTGCGCCATTATAGTTAATTTGCATTGCTGTGTTTTAAGTTCATGAATTTTTCTTCTGTTCAAAAAGGGAGTATAAAAATGTGACGTCTCCAGCTGTTTGAAATGGCTTCAAGTGACGTGTTTACATTTCTTTTATGCTTCTTATCCTTCCAAACATTGGGCGTTTTACTGTGTGATGGTGACACACGGTAGGCACAAACTGAGTCCCGGAATAAAGGCGGGAAAATAAAATATAGATCACAGACACCAACAGAATATTTACATTGAAACATCAGCTGTGCACAGTTTCTGTAACGGCGAGTGGCAAAGGTAGACCAGAGATATCTGTGTGCGTTTGTGTGCGTGGGGCACCACGCTTTCTGCACAACAAGGGACGCGAAAAGTGTCTGAAACTGACGACACGACAAGAAGTTCGAAGAGTTTTGATCGGTGATGATGTCACTTCCTGCTTTCCCAGCCTTACAGCTCAGTGTCTTTGTATTTCTGGGGGTTGTAATATCCTCTCTTGGTCTGGTCGGCCAGCTGGCGGCGGTAGTCGTCCTCGTCGTCCTCGTGTCCTCTCGACTCAGAGTACGGCGGCCTGGAGGGAGTCTGTGGCTCGGGGATGGAGCTTGAACTGGACACACACAAACACACACACCACGGGTCATAAACTTGCATCTTTATAAAAATAGAACATTTTTTATGATGTCAGAGATGAGGCTCTGCTCTCACCCTATTGGCTGAGGACGGCTGAGGTTGGGTTTTGGCAGCTTCACTGGGACAGCGTAGAGATCTGGATGCTTCTGGGCGATTTCCAACTGCATAAAGAGAAGGACAGACCCAGATATGTCAGATCTAATACAAAAAAGTAAAGAACAGAAATAAAATATCCTACTATACCCAGACAGGCTGCAAGTGTATCTTTCTTTAGTTGAAGGATTTTTAGTTCTACCTTAAAATAACACTCTTAAACCCCGGTGAACATTAAACCAGGTGTCTCTTCCTCCCATCTGGAGTGCTGCTTTTTTAGAGTAAATAGTAGGAGGACAGATGCTGCAGTCCAAAGTTCAACTACTGTGAGGGGTACTGTAATAATATTAATACATCTATACATTAATACATAGTCAGAATCTACCTTGCCTTGTAAATCAAGGCAAGGTAGATTCTGACTATTACAATTTACAAAAAAATTATGTTGAAACATGCAAACATCAAAGGAAATACAGAGCTTGTACGTGACTGTTTCCACTGAGAATATTATTGATGAAACTTCAGTGAACAGTAGGCTGATCAACTGAAAGATCAGATGCATCTCTTAGGTCCTGTTTCAGGTCTTTGCTGGATTCTTTTCCTATTTCTTAACAAAATGTCTTTACATGACAGATGCTGTTTTCTCATTTATTTTTTGGTTCATCCTGACCAATGGCAGGTTTTTAGGAATCATCTTGTTGGTGCAAAATTATTTGATTCCTATCAAACTCTTATCTTTGGGATTTTTTGTAAATTCAGCCCAAGAAACAGGAACAAAGTGCCTATTGGTACAATTAAAAACTTGTTCTTTGCAAAGCTTGCCAAGTGTAGACACGTGATGATTCACAGGTAAGACTTAAGTGGATTAAAAAAAGAAAGAAAAAAGTTTCAAAACAGCAAGATGGTGACAGACAAAATGCTCAAGGCTTCAAAATGAGTCCACAAACCAATTTATGTTGGACACAGGCATCTTTATGTACATTTCATGGATCTGACTGAACATCAGAAAATGCTTTTAGACACTGGACTTGGATATGGGAATGTCAGGATTGTTGTAGGACAGACGGGGAAGTAAGAGGAACTTTAAATGCAGCTTTCTATAAATCTGACAGGATTCAACTGCCAAAAGTCAACTGAAAGCTCCCTGCTGTGTCTGTTCCTGCTCTGAAGTTTACAGCTGTACCATGAAGAAAGACAGCACTACTGACTCGAGCGTTTTCTGCCTCCTGTAGCTCCAGGAGCCTCTGAGCTCTTGCCAGATGGTCCATCTTCTCAAACGCTTTAATCTGGAAGAAAATAAAAGTGAAACTTCAATTTTTGATTTAAAAAACCAAAAACAAAACAGCATAGATGCCACACGTCCACTCACATGGTGTAACTCACAAGGAAGTGATTGTCAGATGAAACATTTACAGACAAGAGTGTCTGTAAATACGCAAATACATAATGAGATTTATTAATGGGAACATTTGTGATGCATGACGAGCTGTTGTGGATTTGAAGGGAGGGTTGGAAACATGTGTTGGTAAATTTGTAGTTACCTGGTCACCCATTTTCTATTTCACATTAGATGCAGAGAAAGTAAAAAAACAAAAAAAACAAAAGGAGGAGAAGGGAATAAGTTTGATATAATACCAGAGTGAAATCTTCTAAAGCAAGGGAAGAAAGAAAGATAAAAAAGTCTGACTTTTTGCCCCAGATAGCTGCCTTGTTGGTATAAGAATAAAATAAAAAATAATTAATTCATTTAAATCAATAAATGAGTCTAACCTTGCCCAGGAAGGATTTGTTGGCGGGGTCCTCCGCTTCGTCGTCTTTCCCCGGACTCTGATCTTCTGACGACTGGTTCACTGGTTGGCGGGCGATAGTGGGCTTCACAGGCTTCACGGGAGGGGGAGGCGGCTTGTTTCCGCCCACTGCGTCGCTGCTAATGGTGCTGCTGGAGTGTGACTCGTAGCTCCGTGTGGAGTCAGTTCGAGTCTGAGCACGAACCTGAAACAAACAAACAAACAAAAAAAGAACCATTTGTGATCATTTGCTCAACTACAATATGTGGTTTGTTGTTTTTTAAGGAAGAGCCACTTCCAAATATAAGGCAGGCAGGAGTTTTGAACATTTTTATCAGCTTAGTGTGAGAAAGTTTATTTCAGTCACAGCTGGTTTAGGCAACAAAAGGTGTTTTTCCCCCTCATCTTCAGTCCCTTATATTTGCAGGTACATATGTGCATATGTGGAAAGAAACATCAATTAGAGGAGGAGTTCAAGGTGCAGGTGGGTTCCAAAGCGGCTTGCAGAGGAAGTACCAAATGAAGCAATTTAAATAGATCCTCCTTTATTGGATGCACTCTTAACTGATGTATAGAAGGGCAACTTTATTCATCTAGATTAGAGTTTTTGTTATTTATCAAGAAAAAGTTCTGAAAATGGACACCGGCACTAAATGAAGTCCAAAGAAGACAGTTCTACCCTCAGACCTTTCCAGCTTGGTTTGAATCAGATCTGATGGTACTTCGAGTCTTGCCAAGAACTGAAAGGTCTAAAGACTTTAAATTGAGATGCAGCTTGAGAGACCACAAGAAAGTGTAGCGACAGTGATGTCTGACGGGAGGAAAGCAGGGAGAGGTTCTCACCTTTGGGGGTTCAGGGACGAAAGAAGGGGGAGGGCTTGGCTCTCTGTTCACCTCTCTTCTCATACGTACACGGGGTTCAGGGTGAGGCCGCTACACAAACACACGGCACACAGAGAAGGGTCACAGGGGTTGGAGTAGATATTTTAACAGTGATGATGATGGATTAACAACGTTGGGGAAAAGAAGAGTGTCTATCGGCAGACACGCCCACCTCGTCGGGCAGTACAGGTTCTGATGATCGACTGATGGCCGACACAGGCTGGGGTTCATCCAGTGTCTCGTCCAGCTCATTGTCAGTGTACGCCCCGCCCTCGTCCGCTGTGTCATCATAGTCGCTGGTCATCCGGCTGTCCATGCTGAGGTAGTCACTCATTGCCGACAGGTAGGACATGCGGTCGTCTTGGAGATCTAGGTCCTCCTCTGAACCATCCACCTGAGGAGAGAAAGTAACAGCAAAGCGAAGGGGTGTAAGAAACAGTCAAATTCACACAAAAACAAGTGGTCTGCAGAAGTTCACTGACACTCACCTTGCCCTCGCACACCCACACAGCTTTATCTTGCTGCTCCCGAATTAAATCTTTCACACTGCCATACCATGCGTCATTGGCCGAGTTCAAGTCGATGGTGTCTAACAGACAAAAAACAAAACAAAAAATTCTTAAAAGAAAAAAATATAGGAAGAAAAAGATTTCATAATACTTAGTACTGTCAAAGTTAACATGACAATACCACGTCAACGCAAATTCCTTTTTACGCCTCTATTGGCTTTTCGACACGCGATTAACGCATGTGGGCTCTGTGACCTGTAGATCGGGTTGTCTGGAAGTGGTTTCATCAGTTACATTGTGGATGGTGAGTAGAAATGGAGAAAGAAGCGAATTGTTGCGTACATTCAGTGTATTTTATGAGCATGCAGTACCTCCGGGGGTTTTCTCAGTAGTAGTTGTCATTATTTGGATTGTTGCAATAATTATAAGCATAAATGTGAATAAAGTATGTATATTTTCCGCCCCATGCTGGTAAGAATATTAGAAACATGAAAACTATCCTGTTAAGGGCACAGTTACAGTTGATTAAAAAAAAAATAATCTGATTAATCACAAGTTAACTACGGACAACCATGCCGTAAATCACATAAAACTCACCCGTGAAAAGGTGTGAACAGCTCTTTTTCAGCCTAAGGGCCTGCTCATACAGTTTGCGTGCGCTGCGGTTGGATCCGGGTATGAGGCGGTTTCTCATGGTCTTCAGACCTTGTTTGCTGTCAGGGTTCAGGAAAAGGACGATGGGGTACCACTGAGTGTAATTCAGGGTGTCCACAGCTTTGGGAGTCACGTCCAGCAGAGCGTGACGGTCCTGCAGGAGAATAATAAAAAAGAAAAACATGGTTATATGTCGGATGATGAGTAATAATTGCACAGAAATCTCTGTTAGTCACTCTCGACAGCTGTTCATCTGAGCCACTTCAAACTCTGCAGGTGAATTTCAACTATGACATTGTCTCTTTTAGCAGTTTATTTGGTTACTATGGACTTTGGGATATAAAGGTTGTTTTGATGTAGAGGAAGTTGAAATTCTGCACAAAACGGCACTAAAGCATGTAAAGAAGCGCTCTATGATGACTTGTTTTATGGAAGGTAATAAAGGGTAATAGCTGGAAAGCAAAATCTCAATTAAAATTAAATTTTGATTAGCTGACCAGAACAGACTAACAACCCTACCCTATTTTAATTCTTAGCCCTCAAACAGGTGGATGAAACTATGAGGTCAAATCTTTTATAAAAAAGATCACTTAGTCTAAAATTCAAATGGGTTCCAACAAACATGGCTGCACAAGTTATTCTTTAACTCTTTCTTCTTAGATGCTCCACTGTTGGCAGATTTTTATGCTTCTGATGCAACAAGTCCCTTTGGAGTTTTGATGCAACTCCAAAAGGATCCACCCAAAATTACGCTGGGGATCTTTGGCTTGATATCTGAAGCTTTATATTTTTGAGCCACTATTATTCAACTCTGGTTTAATGGTGTTTAGGGGACATAAAATTAAAAATAGGGGAAATAATAAATTATAACAATATAAAATGGGTGTTGCGCACTCCCATAACAGCCACTGCACTAGTGTTCATACAGCGTCATTATCTTCTAATGATTATACCATACCTGTTCAATGATTTGCCGGATAGAGTTCAATCTCACCACCCCCGAGGACTTCTCACTTCCTGCATCCTTGGGCTCAGTTTCTGAAAGAGGAGATAAAAACCACTCACAAACAAGAACAGAGTAAAGAAAGCCTACAGAAATCTTTTTCTGTTAGTGCTAATGTTTATTTACAGGCAGTCGTGATACTTACTAGCAATGACAAACTGATCAGGAAGTTCAGTAGCCAGTTTTTCGTTAACTACGTCAGAAATGGGCCCAAATATCACCACCGGTCTCCTGAAACCAGCTAAATGAAACAAAAAGAATTAATTCAGAAGTCCTGGCACAGCGAGGACCTCTGCAAAATGCCTCAGGTAAAATTGCAGGGTGAAAGTGTTTCCTGGATACCTTCACGTAATACCACTCTCTCGTAGGCGGGGAAGCGTGTAACCGGAACGTTACCCTGGTCGTCTCGACTCTTGCGCAAATCTTTCTTCTTTGCAGCTCTTTGGCCCCTCATCCTCCAGAAGTCTCCTCTGTCATTGCCCGATGCAGCCCGTGCAGCATTCTGGACGTTAGCCATTTGCTCTGCTCTGATATCGAAAACAAGAAAATATATGACTTTGTCTAGTTAGACTGCTCACACGATGATATGCAGATTTCTTACCAGCGAAAGAACATGTAAAATGATAAAATATCCAGCCAAATCCTTAATACAAAAAAAATTAAAAACTTGAAATATTTATATTTAAAATAAAAAAACAACAACAAAAAACATAGCCATCACGTTCTGACAGCCAGCAGGGGGCAGAAAGGCTGTCTGCACAAAGATGATCATCATTGCATACCTGCTCTTGTTGGGGATGATTCCCTTTTCTAACAGCTGGTTGTTTTTGTCACTACGGATTGCCAGCCAGTTGCCGAGTTTGCCATCATAGAGTGTGTCCGTCACTTTGAAGATCTCCCCCCTGGAGAAAGGAAGGCTCTGCGGGGCCTCCTTCTCATATTCAAAGTGGGTTCTAATGAAGAAGGAGTCGCCTCTGCCAGATGCTAAGACATCTTTATACACTGGCAAAAATAGAAAAAAACAGAAGCTAAAAATACCCCCCCACCATTATTTGGCATCCCACATGGCTCAAATTTGGGCCTCTTGTTTCTCCTCATTCATCCATTATCATAAAAATAAATAAATTACAGGAAATAGAAAAGCAAGCAAGCCACTGGCTCTTCATACAAGACTACTAAGACTTTTTATCATATTCTGTGTGTGTCTATGTGATATACTTTAACACAGGACGGTTTTGGCATTAGTACTGTTTGTGCAACTGTTCTTTATCCAGTCCAGTACCTTCAGGCTTGCTCTGTGCAAGAATGGTAACTTCCTCTCCTTTAGGAATCTCCAGGAGGTAGAGAACAGCATCTTCACGCACCATGCCTCTGAAGTCTCTGTTGTTCACCTGAAGCACACAATAGGAAATAAAATGAGAAATCTGGCCTGATATATGTCTCAAAGATGAAGCTTCTGTCTTTTTTCCTCCAACTTCAGACACAGCACTCTTGTGTGTGCAGGGTTTAAATGTGGAACTAAAACATGCTGTACCCTCATGATCTGATCTCCTGTCCGGAGACCCTCCTGCTCTGCTGCACTGTCCTCCTGAACACCGGCGATAAAGATGCCGACATCATTTCCTCCCGCCAGCCGCAGACCCACACTGTCACCTTTCTGGAAACGCACCATCACCGTGTTCGGCCTGCATTATGGAAACATGGAAACAACAGTTGACAAAGGAAGAGTCTATTTATGACGGAGACAACCAAGCTGGCTTCTTGTTTTTGAGTAAATCTGAGTTTGAGCAACTCAATTAAAACAAACAAACAAACAAACAAACAACAACTAACTAATACTGACCCGTATATTTCCAGGTCTTCTGCACTTGGCTTTAGTGGCACTTTAGGGGGAGCGTGAACCTTTGGGGCGACACTGGCAGCTGGTACTGCAGAAACAAAATCATTTACAGTCAGTATTCAATTCAACTGTCTGATTTGACTTTTATTTATTTTTTACAGTCTTGTATATTCAGGGCGAAATCATGTTTACCTGGTGGTGTCTCGGAGCGTGGCTCCTCCCTCTCTGCGTGCAAAGCAGCCTTATCTTCAACGTCTCTGTCGGCACCTCTGAATGGGGTCGGCATGGCACCCATTTTTGCCAGCCTGCTAGGCGGTTCCTCTCTAGTAATATCCCAAATTTTTGGAAAGTTTAAAAGAAGCATTTTACACATTTAATTCGGTTGATATAATTATGACTCCTTTTCCGGTTTGGTTTAATAACATGGTGGTTTTTCCGATATTTGATGTGACGGGCTGCCTGAGCTTCATGAAGCATAAAATCAGCATAATCCTACATTATCCTGATTTGTTTCTGGTGTATTTAATTCATTCGTAATAAATGACTGACCAAAGCAGAGCTCAATGCTTTTGTGTTATCTAGAATTAAGAAAAGCACAAAACAAAGCAACACTTAAAATCATTTTTTAGATGATTGTGGTTTTTGTTTGTTTGTAGAGCAGGCAGACAAATCTTTTGTTGTGAGGAAATGTTAATTATAATTCTTTCCTATGAATGAAAATGAGACACAAGGTCACAAGCAGTTGCCAAAACAATACAGACCCAGCTCTTCAAGGATTAAACTTTGTGTGTTTGCTTTTTGTCAGACTCAAACATTTGAAATGACCTGTATAAAATTCCAGTTGATTTGGAGTCGTTGCCCAACCCAGTTCAGTTTATCTTCCACAAATCTTTGGAGCAGAGGTGTGTAGTGCAAATTGGCATAACCTGTGGAGCCACAAAATCTTCTAACTCAGTCAGGACCACGAAAGTAAAAGAAGAACTTTATTTCTGCAGTAAGATTTGGGAGTACAGCTCTGTTCTTAGACTTTCCTGTCCTTCCATATGCACGTGTGTAGTGGAAATCCTGAGATGGGGAAAGCAGCAGTTGCAAGACCAACTAGTCCAAAACAGAGCAGGCATGGATGGCAGATATGACATGAATAAGCACGAAAAGGAGCACGGGTGGATGGGGGTTGCAGCTTTTAGATGCAGCAACGGTAGCAGGCTAAAGCAAGTTAAACAGGATTCTCTACAAGACTGAAAAACAGGATGTTCAGGAAGATATCGGTTGAACCATTAGTTTATGTGGGCTAGCACTGAGATCAGCTGATATCATAGGAATGTGACTGAGTTCAACTTGGTGAACCGAATGAACACTGTGCTCGACTTCATGAAAAATAAAAAGGGTCAAACAATAAAGGAGGGGCTAGGATTCATACTAGGATTGGTGTCATAGACACCAATATCCTTGAAAAGGTCAAACGGCCAAATAAATAGGTACAGTTTGTGTTATGTTCCTAATTGCGCATTCCTGGTGATGGCTGCCCCTCCCTGAGCCGATGCTGCCGGAAATCTTTTCCTGTTAAATTTCCTTCCCATGATCACCCCGTGCTTGTTCATAGAGTATTATCTGATTGTGCTATTCTTTTTCTATTTTTCCCCCTATAAAAATAAAACTGAAATCGCATTTTCTGATTTCACAGGAAAGCAGATTCCCAGACCTCCCTCTCCCAAGCCTGGAAGACGCAAAGGAGTTTCCAAGCAAGCAAAGAGACAGTCTCAGCATGTCCCGGGTCTGCTCTGGGGTCTCCTCCCTCCTGATAAGACATGCCCAAAACACCTCAGCTACATGCCATCTGGTTCAGAGCATCGTACAGATGTAGTCTCTGAGCCCTGAGGCTGAGAGGAAAAGCTCATTAAAAGCTTTTACAGCTTGAAATATACCAGAATTGGCCTTTAATGATAGTGTACCTGGGCTTGTCTCGAAGTCTCTCATTGGAGGAATGGGAGGAGAGGTCAGAGTGGTGGGCCCGTCTGTCATCCTGTGGAGAATAGGAGCGGTACGACTCGATCTCAGAGATATCTGAAACACACAAGGATGATGAAAAATATCACAACTCCTGTGAAACCACACAAGAGTCAAGCAGCTATGAGGGTGGGGGGTGGGGTCCTCTGTGTTCAGGTAGTAAAGCCTATAAACTTTATCAGAAAGAGTAAAATGCTGCATCTCTCCTTGGTGCTTCTTTGTTTTGTAAATTACATAACATGGCCTTTGCTCGGCTCAAATGGCCCCTGGGTCATGAAAGCGGGGGGGGGGGGGGGGGGGGGGGGGGGGGGGACGGGACGGGACGGACGACAACACAGCTCTCAGACAAATGAAGGTCAGAGCACTGTTCCCAGATGAGTAGCCACACCAATTAGATATGCAAATACCAGTTTCTGGGGTTACAATGATGATGAGGAGCACTAAAACTCAACAGGATGTTTCAATGTTAGCATTCAGGGTGTGGAAGCTAGACTGCACTTCTATGTTATACTCCAGGGCAGGGAGGAATAAGCACAGTAATACCATTACAAAGTAAAATTACACATGTGCACTTAAGGTGATTTGTACCCGTCAGACCTCAAAATCCTAATTTTTTCAGTCAGTCGGTCCCTATTGTCCTCAAACAGAATTACAAAGAAGGGTGCTGGATGGTAGAAACCAGAAGGCTGCAGCGGTGCGAACCTTAACATAATGAAATTCTGTCATATCCAGTAGCAGGATTATGATAGGGGATTAGATCACGCCGCTAGAGGCGAATGAGCACTTTCACACATGCACACGCGCGCACACACACACACACACACACACACACACACACACACACACACACACACCCCCCCCAAACCAGTCAAACTGGGTCACAAGTCTTCGTGCTATCCCCCCCTCCTCCCGGCAAACATTTGGTCAGTGAACAATCCACTCACACCACTTATCTCTATCCTTCCCGACCAATAACAGCATGCCATCTGGTCATGTGACAATAAAAACAGGTATAAAGGGGTGAGCAATAAGAGGGTGGAGGGGATGGTGATGATGTGCTGAATATGGTTAGCTCGTAGTGCTTTGTGGAATATGTGTATGTGAAATAATATTTAAATAAAACTAAAAGTTGATGTAAGTAAAGCCTTTATTTTAAGAATTAAGAACAAATTTGATTGACAGGTACAGAAACATTAATGGCATTAAGGTTTCCACAATTGATTCATTAGAAGTTCATAATGCAATGAGGTTTATATTTCTAGATATATATATATAAAATGATGAAGATGATGATGATCATGGAGATGATGATGGCCACTCGCCAGGTGTGCCTTTACACGGCATAGGACCTGCTGCTTTTCAGTTTCGAGTTTCTCTCACCGTCGAGCTCCGAGTCGCTGTCGACCATTGGCGGGATTCGGACCAGGATCTTCTTCCTGTCTCGCTGCACCACCAGCTGTAGCTTCCCACGGGACTTCTCAATCAGCTTCCCGGCATCGCTGAGAGACAGGTTTTCTGTCACAGTCCCATTAATCTGACAGAGACAGAGGGGATTAGGAGATGTGCAGACGCTTCTCACTCATGAATCACACAAACAAAGCATGCAATGTTTTACAGTTTTTAAATATTTTGTACACTTAAAAAGGAATTATGCTTTTCCTAATGTTATATACAAACATCTACTATCACAACTACAAATGTTGATATTACACATGGTCAAAGGTTTAATCAGGTAAGCACATAACTAATCTCCGTGAGCCAAAAGCTCACTCATGCTTCAGGTTGCTTTAAACAGTCAGTTTCAGATACTTTTTTTCTGTTCTTGACTCTGTATGATGTCATTGAGATGGGTGATCTTTAAACTGAACCTATTCGGCATATGTCCAGCTCCAGATTTTTGTTAAAGCTTAAAATAATCCTTATTTATTTTACACTGTAAAGATACAAGTCAAAAGAGGCAGAGGAGACAAAAGCAGCCAAAAAGTAACAAAAACACAACAACAAAAATGGCTAGCTAAAGTAGAACAAAGCAATAAAGTTAAAAAAAAAAAAAAAAAAAAAAAAAAAAAAAAAAAAAAAGAGCTCAATTAAATAGGGTAAAGAAATCAAACTGATTTACAACACTCCACATAAAAGATAAAAATAAAAAAATGACAGAAGCTAAAATAAAAAACATAAATAAATCAAAGAGCAAAAACAAAATACATTTTTTTGAAAACATTAAAACACAATTCAGAAATACTCCATGGAATAAAATAGCTCAAATTCAATGATGGCTTACTAAATGCTGAAGTTAAATGGAAATGCAGTCCCTAAGTTCATCCTTTTAGCTTCTTCCACCCTCATTTTAAGACGACTGCCATTCACACAAATACCATTTAAAAACAGCAGGTTGTTGGTGCTTCTGTGCCAAACATGACCACACTTGGGACACCCCCCTCTCACTGATATCATACAGAGCAAACAGTAGGGGGGGGAAAAAAAAACAGTTTAAAACTGAGCTTTTAAAGCAGTGTGAATCCTGAGCGTTGGTTCACTGAGATTACCTTTGCACACGCCGCCTTTGTTATTTGAAACTTTCAGAAATCTTGTTCATCTTGTTTAATATGAGACAAATGTAAAAGTGACCACTCCGCCCTGCCTCTGTGTGGCAGCTGCTTCTCCCAGGTACTGATAGGAATGTGGGCGACTTGTCGACTAAATGTTTAATCGCTGCTGCCCTTTCTAGTACGAAATACTACTCTGTTAAACGCATGTTTCTTATTTTACACAATGGTACTTTTCTGCTAAAAGATGTTACACTTCCGCTACCCAATGTTGCAGCTCTGACTCTCTCTCAGTGGAAGACATAAACAAAAGAGACTGAAAGCAAACAGATGACAGCTGTGTTACAGCACGGTTTTGCAGCACTTTAACATAAAAGAAAGAGATTAGAGGCTGTTTGTCAGCTGTGCCTGGATACGGAATACAACCAAGCAACTGAAGCGGCAGAAACCAAGGTTACAATATACTAGCACTGACTTTGGTCAGAGACCCATCTACTCCTGGCAACCACTGGTCACTAGGGAAATAATTTATTTCTCAGCCTGCTCTTGATTGCTTCCGGAGCTGTAACTTAAGAAAGTGTAATGCAAACCAGAAATCGATAATACTCACCTTCAAACTAAATTTCGCACCATATCACTGAAACCAACAACTTTTACAGAGTGTCTGTGTTGTCAGCAACCTACTAGTGAACAAGGCAACTGCAAAGTTTCAGTGCAGAGGTATATACAGCTTTTTGCAATCTTACTGAGGAAATACCAGCAAGCTTTAGCAACCAGCTGAGGAATACTCATTTTTCCAAAGCGACAGCTGGGCCATGGGGTCACAAACTAGTCATTAGTCTTGCGTGACTGCGATGTAGCCATCGATTTCACATCGACTGCCAACAACTGGTCGGGAAATACTCATTTCCCCTAGCGATCTGTAGTTGCTACGCAGTGTCTTTAACCCTGTGTGACCGGATCGTTTCATCCAAAGTGTGACCCATGATGCTGAGCGAAAGCCCAGTAAAATATAAATAAGGATTCATTTGAACTGTCAGAAATGGACGGTTAATGAGCAAAAAATGACAAATAAGGAATATACACCACCCTACCTTCAGAATAATGTCCCCTTCCTGCAGGTTTCCATCCTTGCTGGCAAGTCCTGTGCTGGTCATCTCTTTGATGAAGAGCTGGCTGCCCAGACGAAGGCCATATTCTGCAAAAACACAAATCACACATATATTTTATGTATAAATAATCAAACAAATATTTTACCTTATTTTACCCAACTCCACTTTAATTATATCTGACATTCACAGTCTAGATAACCTGGCATGACCGAACAAATGGAAAAATTAATCAGGTCACTTTTCGACCTCTGAAGAGTTTATTAACGGTCACTGACCAAAATGCCTCTGGACACATCTGTATAAATGATGCACTGATATACTAGGCTGATGTTTAAAATAAGAATTTACCTATAAGCACTGTGATCACTTTTCCAACTGTTCATTTTGTTTTATGCATTTCTGTGCCAAGTGAAGAAATTCACCTCAATTTAAAAATAAAGCCAGTAAACAGCGAGCGCCAAACTGATGAATGGTACAAGCCATTTTATCTGCTGATATGCTGAAATCAGCTGGTGGTGATGTATGCTGACATGGCCGTGCCTCCATTAACTCTCTCTCTCTTGCTAGAATTGCTTGAGTAAACAATTAAACGTACAATTAGGACATTTCCATTTTGCATCCATTTAATAAAACCTTCAAATAAAGTGCATCCTTTCCTCTGCTTAACATTTATCAAATTTGTTGCCAATTGTTTTTCTTGTGGCAGACACCACTTATTTTGTGCTAAATGCAGGAGGGGGTTTCTTTCCCAAATAGCTGTACAGGTTTTATTTACTTTTTTATGATATCAAAGATACTTAGAAATGGGTAACAAAACTCTAGTCAGGACCACTTAAACCCTTGTTTTGGGATCACCATGCCCTTCCCTGTGCATATGAAGGAACCCCCCACTACAGAACAGAGCAGATATAAATGGCAACAGATATGAAATTAAAATAGAAACAGAAAAAGGAAGAGCTGGGGCAGGAGTCAGGTTTCCAATAGGCTTGCAGATGCACAAGTGCTATTGGCAGCTACCTTTGTGAGATTTGCCAAATGGTTGTGTAGAAGGGTATCAGCTGAGGAAGAGACCAGATAACCTGGTAGGAAAGCGGTTAACCTTTCTATGTTGAATAATAAACCATTCTATATGTCAGATAAGAACCTAACTGAGTGATTCTCAAACTTCTTCTTACGTCTTAGTTCAGAATTGGGAAAAAGTTCACAACCCTCCAACATAGATTGTTTTGTTATTTATTCATTAACATAAAAATAGGATTTAACCTGAATTTTAGTAAAGGTTAGCTTTCCGTGCCACCCACAGAGACTGTAACCCTTTTCATTTAAGGTGAAGAGAACCATTCACATGTTTTGTTTATCTGACAGTCTTTTAGCGTCTCACCTTCGTTGGGATGGTTTTTCAGCAGTAGCACATTCACAGGTTTCTCCAGCGGCTCCAGATCCCGGGCAGGGCGTGGCAGAGGGAGGGGCACGGCAGCAGGTGACGGTGTGCGTTCAAGGCGGTCCCTGCTTGCACTTCGCTTTATTGGCTCGTCATATTTCCGTGGCTCATTTGCGATGCGGTCAAGTCCTCGATCGTAGCTTTGATCGCGGCCACGGCCTCGTCCTGGACTGTCACGCCTGTAGCGCAGATCGGGGCTCTCGTTGCGGTCCAGGGCTCGGTCGCTTCGGTAGCGTCGGTCGGGGCTGTGGTCCAGGGCTCGATCGCTGCGGAAACGCCGATCAGGACTGTAATCTCGGTCTAATGTGCGGTCGCTGCGGTACCTTCTGTCTGGGCTGTAGTCACGGTCAAGCGCATGCTCGCTCTTATAGCGGCGATCTGGGCTGTACTCTCTATCCAAAGTGCGGCCTCTGCTGCCATCTCGCCGGTACTGGCGGTCCGGGCTGAGGTCTCTCTCTGTGCTCCTGCCACGTTCCCGCCGGTCATAGTCACGATCACGTGTGTGGTAGCCGGAGTCCATGTAGCCGCCTCGCTCCCTCTCCAGGCTTTGGTCCCGGCCTCCGCCACTCCTAGCGCTGTACACGCTACGTCGGTCTTGATCATAGTTGTAGTCATCATTGTAGTCATTGTTGAAGACTCTGTCGTCAGGTGATGGCTGACGATTGAGCACATTGACTGGAACCTTTCTGGGCCTCTTGACTGTCTGAATTTTTCCATAAAAGCACAAACAGATCCAGTTAAGAAAAATCCTAATTCCTAATGTGAAGAGTAGATTCTTTTTTAAAAGAGATTGATAAGATAAGATAACCTTTATTAGTCCCACACGTGGGAAATTTGTTTTGTCACAGCAGGAAGTGGACAGTGCAAAAGTTATGAAGCAAAAATTAGAATACAATAAGAATAAATACAGTACACAACTGTACAGAATAGAATAAAATACTATATACAGTAGAATAAAATAGAATAAAATATACAATAAGATAAAAATAGAATACAAATGCTATATACAACTGAGTAAAAATACAACGATGCCAGAAAAGTATTGCACTTAGTGTTATTGCACCAGTGTGGATGTGTGTGTTTGATCAGTTGGAGTCTTTGTTGTGGAGTCTGACAGCAGTGGGGAGGAAAGACCTGCGAAATCTCTCCGTCCCACACCGTGGGTGCTGCAGTCTCCCACTGAAGGAGCTGCTCAGTGCTTTACTTACAATTTTTGCTACTTTGCCACACTTCCTGAGGGTCTGGACAGCGAACGAGTGGATGGCTCCATCCATGGGGATGGCGTTCACCTGCACTACTCTGTCATTTTCACTAAACAAAAGTAAACACACAAGTTAATCCAACTGAAGTCAATTACATTTTTATTTATTTTATCAAGTTGTTACATCTGTTTTGTGAGTAGATTTATTTTGGAGTTTGTTTCTTTGGAGTAAAACCATAAAATAACAAATGGTACATACAACAACAATCCATCAGCTGGCCCTCCCTGCAGGACATCAGATACCACGATGGACGTCTCGCCAGTGTCCTCGTTTGGGTTATCCCGCCCTCCTGATACAGCAATGCCAAAGCCCATCTTCGAATCCTGAAAAGCGAGGAAAGATTTGTGAACTCAAAAACGCTCCAGCTACTCTCTATACAACTGGACATTGTGCGAAAATCACAGCGTGCAATCCTAAGCAAGGCTAACAGTAAAACACCTGCAGAAATATCTACACGTGACCATAAACTGTGTTTGTGTAAAGTTGTCATGACACTAGAATTTCAAACTCAGCACAGACATACTTAATACCATTTATTTTATTTACATTCAGAGGGGTAGCGCTGAAGTAGGTTTGGTAGTGCTCTGCTTCTGATGCCTTTGCGCCACAATTAACCTTAAGAGGTTAATATGTTCTCATTTTCAAACATATTACTTTTTAAACACATAATTTAACATGAAAACACAGTTTATACTGCACTAACATTACAGAAGGGCAGGACTTTTACTGTCAAGCATCAGTTTACTGAAGCACAAAATATACTTGTTTATCTAATGGCCAGAAATAACAGGAAAATACCATTTAAAAAACAGATTAGGCAACGCTGACTTACTGCCTTAATAAAATGAAGACCAAAGTCAACCCCCACAGGCCTGTTTTAAACCAGGAAAGACCCAATTTAATCCAATTGAGATGCTGTGGTATGATGAAATGAAAATGTTCTATTGGATGCAGGGTCAACAATTTTTCCTGGATGTTGTTTATATCTCATAAGCAGCTGAGGGAAATGTCTGATGGAGTTTGTTTCTGCTAAAGGAGGTTCTATGAATTCCTAAACCCCTGCTCTGTGTGACAGCATGCTCAATAAATACATCAAAAGTATCCATTTGTACATTATTAGTTTAGTTGGATTTTATGCGGCATTATTCGCAATTTAGTTCAAGAATAAAAAAAGAAAAAATCCAGGTAATGAATTCATAAACTTTTTTCCTCCAACGGTACATCATGAGGGCTCGCTTCATTGTCCCCTTGTGTTTTTAAGCTTTTGCGTGCGTGCGTGAGGTCCAATAATCCCAACGGTGTGTTTCAGCTCACACTGCATTATCATGGCTGTATGTGTATTGTACATGGTGATTAAAGGGATTTTGACTGACTGCGATTTAGGGCTGCCACGATTAGTCGACTAGTCACGATTATGTCGACTATTAAAATCGTCGACGACTAATTTAATAGTCGACGCATCGTTTGAAGCTTTGTAAGATCACAAAGGACGCAGGAATGAGTAGTAGGATTTAAGAGTGTAATAACGGACTGAAACAGAAGATGGCAGCACTGCATGTACAAGGATGCCAGCTGCCGTTAAACCCCGAAGAAGAAGAAGCTGTGTCCCAGAATTCATAGCGCAGCCCAGCGCATTTGTCAACAATGGCGGCAGCTAGTTAGTTTTAACTTTACTCTTATTATTCTTTCTGGGTCACAAAATAAACGTTTAACATATTTTCAGGTGAGAATGTAGCTGTGTAAACCTCAAATATCTGCTCAGTTTATCAAGACACCACATATTTTCAAAAGCGCTCCGACGTTTTCGGAGACGTCTGTTACCCACTAGCTCGTTAGCTAGGCGGGGGCAAGGCTAACTAGAGCCGTGAGAACACCGGACTCCCGGCAAATCGTTTTCAAACCCACCGCCGTCTTTCGCTACTCAGGTTAAACATGATATATAAGTCACTTAGATAACTTAAAAATGTTATTGTTTGGCTTTCTTTAGTATTTTATTTGTTCCTGAGTAAATCGGTTTGGCTGAGATTAAAGTTATAGTTTTTGCACAGCTAAAACTGTCAAGCAGACAGCTGATTATCAGAAGTGTGAGATGCTGGAGAATATACTCCGGTGTCCTGTTATATTTTAGAAAGCAAGGAGTTTATTAAACTTCACCGAAACAATCTGCAAATTTCATTAAAAATTAATAAACTACCATCTTGTCTTTATTTTTAGTTAGCACAAACACTTCAAGCTGTAAGCTAATGATAGTTATATAAGACCAGATGCTGCTGGTGCAATAAGCTGTACGCTGTACGTCCAATGGATGATGATCTGATTAGTCGACTAATCGCAAAAATAATCGGTGACTAGTCGACTATCAAAATAATCGTTTGTGACTAGTCGACTATCAAAATAATCGTTTGTGGCAGCCCTACTGCGATTACAGCTCTGCCTGCTGAGAGCATGTAGGACTATCCAGCGGCTGAGCACCTGTACTTCAATACTATGTAGCTTTCTGAAATACTACATTGATGTTTCATAAGTAACAATGGTCAGATTTTAAGCCAATCTAACATGTGAGCACTAACAGAAAGTTTAATTTAAATACTCTGTTTTTAAAGGCTGCTTAATTCTTCATGTTTCTGGGTTTCTCAGATTCTACCTGCCACTGCTCCAGCTTGCCCTAATGAGATTAGGTCAGAGATTTGCTGACCCTGTCTCTCTTTATCCCCTCCCTTCCATCTGTACTTAAAATACGAAATAAATAAATAAATGAATAACAAAAAAAAAACAAAAAAACAACAACACACTCTCTGGCAGATGGCTGTCGAGATAGAGGAAGGGTAAGAGTAAGAGCAGCAGTGGAGGGGGAGAATAGAGGGCTGCATCAACAAACTATGGCTAAAATATATCTTAAAAAAAGAAAAAGAAAAGGTTAAAATATAAAGTGTAATACAATTATTACATATATAAAAATGATAATGTAATAATTTTAACCCCAACCCTTCAGATCTCACATAAATGTCAACTCTCTCAAGGTTGCCTTCATCCTGACATGAAAACGCTCGACATTGTCTGATTTTTCCTCAGATTTCATAACTCACAGAATTTCTTCTACTCAAAAAACAAAAACACGTGCAGTTTGTAACATGAAACCAGGAATAATCCCCTGACTGAAACAAGAAGAAAGCCTGTTGCTGATTTGCATCGTTTCCACCAGTGGTGGAAGATCTGTGGAGCCTGATTAAAAAAAAAAAAGCCACCAGCTGCTCCTGCAGATGCCAATCTAAATAAGAAATCTTAAACCAATTTTATAATTATTAAGGAATATTTACAATGTGATATGGGCTGATTATTTTTCACCATCAGGTTGATGAAAGTAGAGCAGGTAACAACTTTTTGGGGGGGTATTCTTAAGTGAATTGTCTCTCTTTAAATACTCAGAACATGCTTTATTTTCTGATGCATCAGATCAACCATATTATACCCATCTTTACCCAAAACCAAGTTAATAAACGGTGTGTGGCCTGTTCTGCCTTTTCTTCTTCTTCCAGCTGCTCCCTCTAGGTGTAGCTCCATCTCCACCTCTAACATCCTCCTGTCACACCAACCCACTGCATGTCCTCCTTCATTATAACCATGAATCTCCCCTTTTTCCTCTTTGCCATCTTGTAAATCTTGCCTCCGTCTGAAGACGTTTACAGATATTTATTTAAATTGGATTTGATAAATGCATATTGACTGGCTGGCAGATGAGTAAAAACAAAGTGATAAATCCAGAATTCAGTTTGGGAATGTTTGACGACATCCCACTCATATGAAACACATGCGAATCCTGCTTTTTCATTGCTACAGACATGGAAAACAGCGCAAGCAACTAAAGATTAACTGTGTGATCAGGATCACCTCCACCAATTCCAGTTGCTGAACTGAACCTCTGGATTGTGTTTGTTCTTTTTGGAGCTTTTTAAATGCCATAATCTGACAAATGATATAAACTACTGGGCAGATATTGTACTACACTGTGCATTCAGTTTGCACTTTGTGCTGTATATGCATGTCTGTGGATCTAGACTCCAGAAGTCATTTCTTTTTGGAGAAAAGGGTGGACGACTAAGTTACGAGCTGCAACCTACCTGAAAATGGAAATGTGGCTGAATGTTGCATACTGTAATAAATACTGTTTTAATCCCTTACAAGCATAGTATGGGCTCTACCTTAGACCAAAAATCAAATAAATATCATATATTTAGACTCTGTGCTCCTTAAATGACATTAGAAATACTCTGAATATTTAAAGAGAAAAAATTCGGTTAAATAGTGGAAGGGACCAAAAAGTATAAGCACAAAGCAGAGTGTGACAGCTGGCTGTGGTGGGGTTGTGAGGGGGGGGGGCTCACGCCTACAGCAGAGGACCTTTTTGCACAAAATTTGCTTTTCTGGCCTAAGTGAGCCACAGCACGCGACAATGAGCTCATCATGGTGATTACCTAAGCTCAAATGACTTCCTGCGCTTACACAGTCACACACGTGACTAACATAACAGCAGCCAGAACCCTGGTCACTGGATGATGGTTAAACAAGTTGAACAAATAAACGATTAAAGATGTGATAGCTGGGAAAAATCAAAAAGTGGAACTGAAGTATATCTTCATTTTTTAATAGTCACTGGATCATACAGTTTAGGATTCCTGGACTAAATTTTTCAATTGAGAAATAAATAAATAAATATTTTAACCTGGTATATTTATGTAAATGTATTTCTAATAAACTTAAGTTATTAATGATCAGAACATTGTTGAAAAGTAATCTAACTATGACCACATGTTAAACACTGAAATCTATTTTAAAAGGAACCCATTACGCCAATTTCTGTTTCATATTTTTTTTATTCTTGGACTCAAACCCTAAATTCAAGATGCCCCTTTGAGACGAACCTCTTTTTAAATAAACTTTCTTCTAATTGGCTGCCCCTCATCCACAAAACATTTGAACAGCTGGTAGGTGGGACTCACTCTCAGTGACATCATACAGAACCAGGAGAAAAAAATTAAAAATAAATTTGGCAACAGCCAATTTGCAAATCCCACATTGCTGCATTGGAGTAATGTAGATGTGGTCAAGACAACCTGCTAAAGTTAAAACCGATCATCAGAATGGGGATAATAGGTGATTTAACTGACTTTGAACGCAGCATGGTTGTTGGTGCCAAATGGTCTGGTTTGAGTATTTCAGAAACTGCTTATTTACTGGGATTTTCCTGCACAGTTAACTCTACGGTTTCCAGAGAATGGGCCCACAAAAGGGAAAACATCCAGTGAGCATCAATTCTCTGGGCAAAAATGCCTTACTGATGCCAGAGGAGACTGGACCGCCACTTGGTACCAGCTGAGCATTGTTTAAACACGATAGCCTGAGTATTATTGCTGAACCTGTCCATCTCTTTATAACCAGTGTACCCATCGTCTGTTGTTACTTTCAGCAGGATAACACCCCATGTCACAAAATCATCTCAGGACACAGATTCCCATGTCTTGACCACCTCTTTAAGGTAGACTATAGACAGTATAAAAGATGAACGTTAGTTTTACTTTTCAGATATAAGTAACTTGGATGTGCTTTACACCTGCAGTCTTTTCAATGGCCACACAAAGCCAACAACTTTGGTTTCAAGTAAGACTTTGTGTTATATGTTATATGAGTTCTGTGGAAAACCAGAACTCAGCTCCTTTACTTTTTTACCTTTCTAAACAATTTCTTGATGTCGTCAGTCTCAAGTAGCACTGAATAAAATATTTAGTTGTAAATTATGGTCATCTTCAAAATCGACAAGGACAGTTAAAGCAGTCTTTAAGAAGCCTTGAGTTGCAATTGCCATCGCTATCTTGGTGTCTGACGTGATAATCCTTGTTTCTGATTCTTAGAATGAAAACTTACAGACTGGACTTCATGTTGTATTCAGTAAGACTGGAAACTAAGAGCTGAGCCCCTAAACTAATCAGGAAACTGTTTTTTGAGGGCGCAGAGCAAAACAGCCAAGCTGTGTTTTCCCAGGTAGCCTTCTCTACAACCACAGGTCACTAGCAGATCGCCATCTGCTGGCTATTAAAAAGAGTGCAGATTAAATACACTTATGACTTGGTAGTAAAAGCTATATATACACACACACACACACACACACACACAGGTTTGAATTATACTCCCCCTTAGCTGCTAAAAGCTCCATGATCCATTACTCTAAGTTACTTAACCCCGAGTCAAGTATCATAAGCAGAAACATAAACATGACTGTTCTTGATGGTTTAAAACATAACAGCTCTGCTTGAATTTGGTCATTCAGAGTTCAGGGGAATGTCACTGACATCATTTTCCCTTCACTATCGGTTCACTTCAAAATATCAAAGCAATCAATTAAATGCATTTCCTGTGATCCACCGGGGTCAACAGCTCGGGCTTATGGAAAACATGTGCACGCTGTAAATGAGATGAGGTTGGGAGTGTCTTTAGGTGCAGATGGACTCACCCTATGCAAGGTCACGGTGTATTGCTCCCACACGGTCTCCTCCATGACCGGGTTCTGAGGAGAGAGAAGAAAAGATTACCACGGATGGGTTTATTTCACCGGACAGATTAATAATGTATTTTGTGATGTAACAACAAAGCTAGTTCATTAGCCCATGCTTCCTGTTGTTACACAACCACAAGAACAATGACAGCCCTCCACTGGGCTGTTTAGTGCAAGCTGTGAAAAGTAACTTCTGGCTTTTGTTGATTAGAAATGGATTTGGAACACTTAAGCATCAGTTTGCACTCTTTAAATATGACAACAAAAAACTGTATGAAACAGGCTGTATGAGGAAGCCACCAACAGGTCACACTAAGAAATACTAATTAAAAGACAGACTCAAACTGACAGAGTGAGGAAAAAACTGAAATAAAGTGAAATTGTTTAAAAGATGTTTCCTTTTTAAATAGATGCTGCCACTTTATTTATATCTGTTAGGAGACTAAAAACTCATTCAGTCCAAAGAAAATCGCAAAGTTGGTCAAAAAGATGCCCTTATTTTCAACAACGACAAAGGCGATTTCAAAATATAAAAACACGAATGACACATCAATTTTTTTTACACAACAAACATGGAGAGAGAAAAGGCAAACTACTTTATATCCGTTCACTTAAACTACCCGGAATTTTTTCACCCGTTAGTGCTACTTTTCTGCACTTCTGACATCCTCATTTCAAAATAAAACACGACCCAAACCATTAAAGAAACTCTCAGGTCATGCTGGCTGGCCAGACATCTGATCAAATTTAAGCTGCAATCAGAATAGCACTCACGAGCCCCTGCAGGATACGTATGGTCTTCACCGCGTGGGCCCATTTCCTGTGCAAGCTGAGGACCGTCTTCATCATTGGTGCTCAGTCTCTTTCCTTTCTGTGTCTCTCCCTGCTCACCGCCAGCGGTGCTCTGGCAGACTGATGTGCGCCACAGCCTCCTCCATGGCCACAGCTGCACAACCACCAGCAGCTCTCTCCCTGCATCTGCCCGCCCGCCCGCCTGCCTTTGACGTAAGAGGGATTCTGCTGGCCTACATTCAGCACAAATCCCACCGTCTGCAGAAAGTGTAAACACACAGGCACACCAGCTCCTGTGCAAGCGCGCGGCGATCCCAACAACCTGAGAGTTCATCCACAAATGCGACAGCGGATCACTCGACGTATTCCGGCTTCGCCACGCGCTCGCACATCGAGATATATCGGGCACTTCCCAAAGTTTCAGAGCCGATTCTCACTTCACAGAGACAAACCCACAGTGAACGTTTGAGGAGTTCAAATCTGAGTTAGTACAATGGTTAGGATTTTACATCGTGGAAAGTGAAAAATCTCTGTGCTGCTGCCATTCCAGGCTCAGGCTTAGTGAAATGGGGGCATGACTCGAGCTGGCAGCACACCCATCATAACCCACTTTTTTGATCTTCTGGCCAGCACAGGAATACTTTAGGACCAGTGGCAGAAGCAGAGAGACCCCACAGTGGGGGGGAACAAACTCTTGGAGGGGTAGATTTTTTTTGTTTTGTTTTTTTTTTTTAGATCTGGAAATGACCTTTGAAATGCCCATCTGGAACTTTATCTTAAACAGTTTTTCGCAAGCCAGGCTCGTGTGTGTAGAGAGCGATGGATTGGAAACATACTGAGCCCAGCCTCAATAAAAAGGGGGAACATTTATATTGGAGAGGGGGGGGGATATCACTTGACAACCATTTGCACCACAAAGGGCCAAACAGACTGCCATGTGTGAAGAGGGGAGACATATGAATGACTTAGAAATATGAGCGTGCTTCAGGCAAAGCCAAACCAATTTAAGTCAGAGTGTCTTTTTGTACTATGCGATTTGAACGTTATGGGTCCTCGCAGGCAGGCCCACTGGATAAGTCACAGTCCCTAGTGCAAGCGATTACATAACAAAACACAAACACATTTCCACTAATGAGGAGGGGAAATGAAATACTGGGTTATACACACAGGATGTGACTTGGAAAACAAATTTAGAGATACAGCTCATCACTTATCACAAAGAAAATACAAAATAAATGTGTAGCTGAAACATACCATTTTTACTGTTACCGTAAGACAGTAACGTCTCTTGCAGAATTATTTAAGTACCCATCTATTCTTATATCAATCACGTTTGTCCAAAGAAAAATAACCTGGAACATGTTTAATAGATGGTAGACCTATATTATCATTTTCATTATAACTTCATTTGTTTGGGGTTTTTTTTTGGACTAATCTGAATGTTAAATGTAAATTAAGGTACAAAGTGATGCATTTTAATTATAACATTGAATTACATTGCTTTGCCTTCCCTACAGGCCAAAACTAACTAAAAAAATAAAATTATATAAAGTAGGAACATGACATGAAACATGCTACAAGAAAATGTTAAGTTAAGTTAAAGACTTTTCTGCCTATCAACCAAAGTTTTATTTAGGTTTTACAGCTTTGTTTAGAGTATAATCACATCATTTGAGCAACATGCTTCTCTTGTCCCAATTACTTCCCATCTTTCCTTGAAATCAAAGGAACATTATCAGGAAATGACAAAATGACCCAGCCACTTCCTGTGTTTATGTGCTGCTGATAAGAAAAGGCAGTGCAAGTCTACCCCCTCCTGGCCGTATACCTGCATTACATCGTGTGCCAGAAAAACAACTCCTGCATAAGTATATTTAATTTAGTGTAGAAAAACAACAACTACATTGAGTTTGAAGGCTTTAGTTTGTAATGCAGGGGGACCACAACACTGCCGTTTCCCGAGAAAGTGGATTTTCAAATAACCACAAGATAAATAAGTCCAAAAACGTTATATCCGCTGTAAAATGTACCAATCGGTCGACTAAACAAAAACTGCGGATTGGATCAGAAGTCAAAACTAATCTTAAGACAACAGATGTGTTTAAAGTTAAAAGTTAGCTAACTAAACCGTTCGTGTAGCTGGTAGCAGTCGCAGTAGCAGTAACAGCAGGTGCAACAGGCTTCAGCAGGGATTCATGGAAACTCCCGACTTTTCCTCAAGGATATTCACACACATACACAGAGAGACACACGCAAACACACACACAGCACATCCATATGGCTAAAGTTATCTAATAATGCTACATTACACTACATTTGTATTCGTCAGTACTGACTGTAGGCGTACAAAAGGACTTACTGTTAAATACTGAGTAGCGTATCTGCTCAGAGAGAGCAGCCCCCCTCCGTTTACTGGCATCACGCACTTTGAACTGTCCGAGAGTGGTACCGAGGATTCAAACCAAACTACGACTAGTTAGGCGTTTCCGGTGGCACATCTGCCACAAGTTGTGAAGAATTTAAAAAAAAATTAGAAGCTTGAAAAAGTAAAAGTCCCGAATGTTTCACTCTAAGTGAACCACTTCACTCACAAAACACACAGACTTCGTGAATCCAGAGTAAAAAATTAGCGCCGACAGCTCCTAGCTTGGTTCAGATTGTACCAAGTAGGACCCCCCGGGAGGGGTGGGGTTAGGTCCAAACTAATTTAGATAAATAAAGACCAACTCGAAAAACAGTTTAGAAACGTAACTTTAATGAAACTAATACTGATATTCCAATAATATGTGTAATTACAAACCGCTGATAACACAGCAGATAGAGAAATAAAGGTGGCTTACGACCACCCTTAGATCGTTGAGATGGACGCGTCCAAAATTCCCATTGATTTTTAGGCAGCCTGCTGTGAGGCTTCCAGCCAGACAGCACAACAACAGCCTTAATTAAACTAAGTGAGGAATATTATAGACATTAACCAAACTGTCGACGCGTCCATTTTAGGATAACTGAAATATTTTATTCCAACTGCTTTCAATGCAAAAAAAAAAAAAACAACAACAACGTTTATTCAGGGTGTGTAAATAATAATAACTCTTGTGAGTAAATCCAACACCCCTCCCCCAAACGACACATATATTTAAGCTCCTAAATATCTACTAACAGGTTTGACAGGAAAAAGTATAGTTTGTTCATTTAGGCAGAATGCAGTCATTTGTTGAGTATTACCTTACATTGGTGTTTGCTGTCTGTTAATATCAAATTTCTAACTTAATATCTACATCTTTACATCTAAATGTGTATTTGCGACATTACAGATTGACTTTACATTACATTCAACCTCTACAACTTCAAAAATGTTTCCCAGAACTTTTCAAACACATCTTTTTTAACTTTAAAAAAACAAAACTTTATTCTTTAACGGGACATTTGACATATTTTGTCTTGCCTAGTCTGTTCAACTGAACAAACATTTATATTGAGGTTTTCTAGTCAAATGGACCACTTAAAGGGCTTTTTAATACAAGCTGACATGCCCAAATTCATACAGTAGTACTCTAGAGCACACTCACTCATATACAGACGGATGTGTTGGGAGTTACTTGGGTTTCAGTAGCTTGCCCAAGGATCCTTCAATATGTGGACCGGAAGACCTGAGGACTGAGCTACTGACCTTCCTGTTAGTGGTCTTCTGATTCCTTCTATTGTTGTAATAGGAAAGGATCTTCCACTACAGTTGTGATCTGTCCTTGCATCTGAAATATAACTTCTTTTTTTTAGGTCATGGAATAAAGAGATCAGACTATTTTTCTCTCTCAAATGATGCACGCGGCAAGAAATAGTTGGCTTTGGATGCGCTTCCACCGGTGGAAATTGGCATTGTTTGATTCCATTCATCTACTAACAGGCAAATATATTTTTAACCAATGAGAGCAGCGTCTTCCTGGGTGACAATCAAGAGGCTCATATCTTGGAATGGCCTACACGCCTACCAGATCTCAATCTAATCAAACCACCTTTTCTTAAATAAATATGACAGACATCGCCATGATCAAAAACACAAAATGACGGTGCTCTTCTTCAACAGTGAAGTTACAGAGTCTAGGAGAATCAAATCCAAGGGGCACTGAAGCCATTTTGGTGGCACTTGGATGGCTCAACACCTTAAAATGACTCTTAATGTTGGTTTTCCTTTATTTGTAACCCATATAACACTATGTGAA